AATGAACGCGGGGAGCGACTGGTAGAATGGTGCAGAGGAAATAATTTTATGACATCAAACACATGGTATGAAAATCACCTTAGAAGACGATACACTTGGAAGAGTCCTGGCGATAGAACTAAAAATCAAATAGACTTGATACTTATTAAGAAACGTTTTAGAAATACAATAAAATCGTCTAAATCACTGTCAGGAGCAGACTGTGATAGTGACCATGTACCAGTCATCTGTAAAATGCGGATAGGACTGAAGAAACTCAAAAAGTCATAGTATCAACCTGAATTTGTCATAAGTCTTGTAAAGACAAATCAAGAACAGAAAGAACGTTTCTCCATAGATGTAAGAAATGCATTTCAAGCTTTGGAAAACATTACTAAATCGGAAGAGCTATGGAGGAAAATGAAAGACTCAATAATGGAAGCAGTGGAAGAAAATATCCCCCAGAAAGCTAAAAAAAAGGTAATAAAAAATGGATGACCCACGAAATATTAAAACTAATGGAAGAAAGAAGAAAGGCAAAATCAAATGTGGAAAGGTTACATCTTAAACAGGGAAATAAAGAAAAAATGCCACAAAGCAAAAGAAACAAGGATAAATGATCAGTGTCAACAAATAGAGAAAAACCAAAACAGAGACAGCAAATACATGCATTTCAAAATCAAAGAAGTAAGTGGGATAAAAGGATGCTCAAATACAGGATGCATAACATCAAAGGGAGGGGATATTTTAATGGACAACGGGGATGTCTTAAACTGATGGTCACTGCGTTCGCTCAGAGCGATGTCGCCTGCGTTGGCAAGGCTTCTCACCGCCATGCTTTGGTGCCCTTGCTGTCTTTATGCTCCTCTTGGTAGCCCTGACTATATCGGTTTCTTCTGCCACTACACGGAAGAACTTTTTCATGTGGGCTTTCCTCTGTTTGTCAGTCTTGCCGTAGAAGGCATCTCTGGGTATGAAAAATTTCTTGAACTGCTCAGAGAGTTCAAAATCACCCAAGCCGAGTATGGCCCTACGAGTCTCTCTGTACTGGGCATTGACTGCTTCTTCAAGGGTTGGCACCAGTTCTGGAAGTTTGAGGGGTTTCCAAGACGTGTATGACTTCAGGACATTGTTTCTGCTCTCGCAATTATTGTTTGTCCACAATGCGTTCTGAATCACCAATCCCTGACGTTCTGTGGCTGTCATGTGCTCGGCTAACATCGGAATTAACCGTCTGATGTAACGCGCAACATGGTCCTCATGGCAGTCGGCAATGTGGGACATTATGTCAGAAAGAGATGCATGATCAGGCTCTGACATGAGGGCACCATTCGGGTGTCTTTTCGGGTGTCTTTTCAGCGACGGGAAGGGCATTTCTCGCGAGAAACGAGTACTCGGCTGGTCTCGTGCCCGCTCCTACTGTGTGTGCGTGTGTCTTGGGGCACGGGCACAAGAGGCTCGGGCGTGGAACCTCAAGGCTAGAGGTACAAACGCGTCTCAGTTACCCTCCCCCCCCCCCTCCTGATCCCGATCAATGTTGCGCTAGTCTTGTCAAAGATATAGTCTAGATCTACCTAATGTAATGCGCACTGGACTGTGGAATCAAACGTTGCCGTTTGCTAGGCTCTGCACAGCAACCTAACTTGTTCGGCAAACAGTAGGCCAACGTTAAAGATGATAGATGACACAGGCGTGCATTTGAATGAATCGACCCTTTTGCACAGCGTGTGCTTGGTAGAGCTCAGTGTATTTTCCTGGAATTTTCCTGCATTTCTTCCGTCTGGCATCAAAGAAAATGAAATGCCTCTCATTTGAAACCAAACTACAGTCAAACCTCTTTGTAAGCCCCCC